TGAAATTGAGCAACTATTAGTCGAACCGCATAATCCTGCTTTATCCGACCATTTCTTAGTGACTTTTGAAGTACTGTTACGAGACTACAAAGCATTAGTCAAAAGCTCTTGCAGCAGAAACCTATCTGTTAGTGCTATAGCCAAATTTAAGGAAGAGATTCCACCAATACTTGACTCGATAGCATGTCTGCATGTAAGGGAGGAAACGTATACAAAATGTACACCACCCCAAATTGATCATGTTGTTGATAGTGCTACAGATGCGCTGCGAATAAAATTAGACTCTGTTGCTCCTTTGAAAAAGAAGAAAATAAAACAACATAGATTAGCTCCATGGCATAATGCCGAAACCCGCAAAATAAAGCAAAAGTCGAGACAACTTGAAAGGATATGGCGTTCCACTAAACTTGAAGAATCTCATTTAATTTGGCATATTACTCTCAATGAATATAAGAAAGCACTGCGTAAAGCGAGAGCAGCCTACTCTTCATTAATAGATGAGAATAAGAATAATGCAAGATTTCTTTTCAGCACTGTAGCCAGGCTGACAGAGAGCCACAGCTCGATTGAGCCCTTCTATTCCCATAGCACTCAGTAGTAATGATTTGATGTGCTTTTTTAACGATAAAATTGTTACTCTTAGAAACAAAATTAATGACCTCTTGCCTTTGACCAGTATAGTGTTATCAACAGCTCCCGGAAACGTAAGTTCTAATATTACACTAGATAGTAAACTAGAATGCTTTTAGCCATTAACCTTGAACAATTAAATTAAATGATTCTCTCTTCTAAACCATCAACGTGTATGTTAGACCCAATTCCAACTAAGCTGTTGAAGGAAGTTTTTCCATTAATTAGCACTTCTTTATTAAATATTATGAATATGTCTTTATTATCAGGCTATGTTCCACAATCATTCAAAGTAGCAGTGATAAAACCTCTTCTTAAAAAGCACAACCTCGATCCAGAGGTTTTAGCCAACTATAGACCTATTTCTAATCTTCCGTTCCTCTGAAAAATTATTGAGAAAGCGGTCGCAAAACAGCTGTGTGATTACTTAAAAAACAATGATTTATTTGAAGATTTTCAGTCTGGCTTTAGAACACATCATAGCACAGAGACAGCTCTGGTTAAAGTCACAAATGACATTCTAATAGCCTCAGACAAGGGACTTGTCTCTATTCTTGTTTTGCTCGATCTCAGTGCTGCATTTGATACTATCGACCATGATATCCTATTGCAAAGACTAGAGCACTTAGTTGGCATACAGAGAACTGCTTTAGGCTGGTTTAGGTCCTATCTATCTGAACGCTCTCAGTTTGTACGTGTTAACGACAAATCTTCCACGCAAACCAAAGTTAGCCATGGAGTGCCACAGGGTTCAGTGCTCGGACCTATTTTGTTCACATTATATATGCTTCCGTTAGGCAATATTATAAGGAATCATTCTGTAAACTTTCATTGTTTTGCGGATGATACTCAACTACATTTATCAATCAAGCCTGATGAAATTAATCATCTAAATAAAATTCAAGACTGCCTTAAAGGAATGGTATGCTCATGACACTCATTTTTAAATAATTATCATCCGATAAAACAGACCAGTCTCTGCCAGTCTTTTTTTTTTTTTTTTTAATCCGATGACATTATCAGTGATTTTAAACTGATTAATTACCGAAATAACATCAACACTGTGGGCGGCGCCATTTTACCGGACGTGACGTAAACCATGCGTTTGGTTTCGAGGACACGTTGATGTTCATGTTATTTACTGTAGTTACTCTCTTCAAATATGCCTCATTGTATCGCGAAACATTGCCACAATTCTGATAGGAACAATCCACGGAATGCTCGGTTCCATCTGTTGCCAAAAGGTAAGCGTAGGAAGTACGTTCGGAGGCAGTGGCTAGCGAAATGTGGCTGGCCCGAACCGAAAGATCCACAGGCGCATGTATGCAGCGAACATTTCAAGTTTCCGGACGACTACTCTGAGAGTATGATAAAACATAACATGGGATTTATTGAACAACCATTACTTAATGGAGATGCAGTACCATCGGTCTTTCTCGTGTCTTTCCCAGTTTTTCCGGCCCCATAAAATCGTGGTTCTAGGGCCAGGGACAACGAGGCTGAGTATGCTAAACTAGAGAGGGAATCGCTAGCAAGGGTGGTACTACATGCATACATATCTAGTAATCAAAATCATTGTATCTACTAAGTAGTACTAAGTAGGCTCGAACCTGTATGGCTGAATTCCCCCATCCAATCTCTTCATATTGCTCAAAACTTCTTCCTCGGCTGACGAGTCCGAACTCAAATACTCCTTGTTTTCGTGTGTTTACAAAGTGAACGCATGGATGACGTCACGACCATCACGTGACTACTGAAAATGGGCAAAATGGCAGCGGCCTGACGGAATATACAGGTTTTGATCAAAAAGAGCTATAAAATCATTATTTACCAGGGAATATCGCTGATTTCTTCAGGGTATGGTTTAAACATAATGTTTCACTAAATACTGAAGTTTTGATTAATTATCTAATGAGTGGAGCATTCCTTTAAAGACTTAAAAACGTGGATGACCTACATTTTTTGATGTTAAACACGACCAAAACTGAAGTTATTGTACTTGGCCCGAAGAATCTACGAAACAAATTATCTAAAGATATACTAATTATGGATGGCATTCATTTGGCCTCCAGTGAGACTGTCAGGAATCTTGGTGTTATATTTAATCAGGATTTATCCTTTAACGCCCACATAAAATCAATTTCAAGGACCGCCTACTTCCATCTACGTAACATTGCAAAAATCAGGCATATCTTGCCTCAAGACGATGCAGAGAAACTATTCCATGCATTTGTTACTTCAAGGCTGGATTATTGTAACTCCTTATTATCAGGGTGTACCAAGAAGTCAGTCAAGTCGCTTCAGCTGATTCAAAATGCTGCAGCTCGTGTACTAACCAGAGTTAGGAAAAGGGACCACATTACTCCTGTTCTGGCTGCCTTACACTGGCTCCCTATAGAACACAGGATATAATTTAAAATTCTTCTTCTCGCCTACAAAGCCCTTAATGGGCAGGCGCCATCTTACCTTAAAGAACTCATTATACCCTACTGTCCTATTAGGGCATTGCGTTCCAAGAATGCAGGGTTGTTGGTTGTTCCTGGAGTCTCTAAAAGTACAATGGGAGCCAGAGCCTTTTCTTATCAAGCTCCACATTTGTGGAATCAGCTTCCAGTTTGTGTTCAGGCGGCAGACACCCTATCCGTTTTTAAGAGTGCGCTTAAGACCTTCCTTTTTGATAAAGCTTATAGTTAGGGCTGATTAGATTCAGCCCCTAGTTTTGCTGATATAGGCTTAGTTTGTCGGGGGACATCTTACTTCTTCCTTATCTCTGTCTATACCTGTGTACTCATGTTCCGATTAACCCAGCTTCCCCAAATGTATTTCTTTTTGGTGTCTATATACGCCAGGATCCGGAGACATGGATGATCCTGCGGTCCTGTGTTCTGAATCGCGAGCCCTGGATCTTGAGTCGTGGCTGTGGTCCTGGATCATAGGTCCTGGATCATAGGTCCTGGATGGATATCCTCGTGGATTCATCTTCCTATTATACACACATGCATTTCCAAACATTTGGACTACCTATGTTGCAAATGTATTATCTTTTCAATTTACACACGGCATCTATTGCACGTCTGTCCGTCCTGGGAGAGGGATCCCTCCTCTGTTGCTCTCCCTGAGGTTTCTCCCATTTTCCCTTTAAACTGTGGGTTTTCTACGGAAGTTTTTCCTTGTACGTTGTGAGGGTCTAAGGACAGAGGGTGTCGTATTGTCATACTGATATTCTGTACACACTGTGAAGACCACTGAGACAAATGTAACATTTGTGATATTGGGCTATATAAATAAACATTGATTGATTGATTGATTGATTGATTGATTGAATCTTAATGCACACACATTTCCCGTGCTTTCTAATAGTTGTAGTGGACATTTTTATTATATTCCTTATATGTTCAAAGTAACCAAATGCTTCTCAATTTGGTTAGATGTGCTGTTTGCCTCTTGTTACTCTACTTCAAGGCCACAGCTGCTATTATGACTCACACATAGTCACAGGAGAACTTGCCTTTCCTGAGATCTACAGCTCAAGGACATGTGTCTAATAACAAGGTGACCGTGTGAAGACAGATTTCTTCACCTTCCCTCCCTTTCCTCAATATAAGCTTTGCTATAATATTGAACTGCGCACACTCACGCAGACTATCCTATACTCTGTGAGACCTGTGTCTATATTTTATTGTATCTGATGTTTGTTCGAATAAACATCACCAGAAAGACAACTCTGTCTGGTTCACCATTTATTTGTTTTCTGACTTGTACTCTACAGTATTGGGGTTTTTAGATTTCCATAACAATTGGCGCTGCGAGCAGGGTCTCTGCAAGTTCGATTGGGAACACCTACGAACGCTGGTTGGTCGCTACAGGATCCTCGGATTCCCTCTACCCCGCGACAAAAACAGTACGGGACGAGAGGACCAGCGGCGGGGGTGGAACTGATTGACTTCACGAGACCAAACGGACTTAGAAAGGCTTTCCAATACTGGGTGAGATGTGCAATGTCTAAATTGTTTAAAGTTAAACGTAATTAAAACTCCATGACGTTTATGAAAGGGGCTGCTCGAAGAGGGTTTATCCCGTCCTAGATCGTGGGTTTACGATTAGTTTTTGCGTGGTTTGTACTGGGGAACAAATATCACAGAGGGTTTATCCCGTCCTAGATCGTGGGTTTACGATTAGTTTTTGCGTGGTTTGTACTGGGGAACAAATATCACAGAGGGTTTATTCCGTCCTAGATCGTGGGTTTACGATTAGTTTTTGCGTGGTTTGTACTGGGGAACAAATATCACAGATTTTGTCATGGGAGCAAGGCAAAGTAGGGGGCTTGTACACCCTCCTGAGGGCCCGATTGTAGACGTCATGAGAGTAAAATATGGTGAGGACAGTCTGTCTAAATTAAATATATGGACGGAAATGTTCGGATTTCCTAAGGGAGGTTCTTTGAGTAAATTAAAAATCAAAAACCTAAGAGATAAATTACAAGAGTGTGAAGATGGAATAAAAAAGAAGAGCAGAATTAAAGGGAAAGACTTAGAAAAACTGGACAGTCACAGAAAGTGTTTGAAATACTGGGAAGATGAAGCAGAGTGCCGTGAAAGAAGGCAATTGGCTGCGGCAATAAGAAAAATACAGGTTGACGATAAAGGAGAAGAAAAAGAGAAAAATAGTTTCATACCACCACCCAAGTATAAACCACACACTTCCCTTTATCCCTCTCTTTACACAGGCGTGGAGGACCCTCTCCTCGACTGTGGATTTCCATTCCCCCCTCCCCCACCCCCCGTTCACCTGCCAGCTGAGGAAGCTGAGGAGGCGGCTGGAGGTGCTGCTGGAGGTGCTGCTGGTGGTGCTGCTGGAGGTGAGGTCACCGCCAAACTGGAAAGGACGGTCCAGGAGAAGAAAGAGAAGAGAGAAAGAGAGGAGAAGGAAGCGGAACTCTACAGAAAAGAACACCCCCGCAAACCGGACCAGGACTTAAATTACAATCTTCCCATGATCCAGGTGGCTGGACCTGCTGGTCCGTCACTCGTTTACCGCCCATGGACCATATCGGATATGAGGGAAATAGCAAAAGATCATATCCCAGATGTTGAGTTAGGGGGTGCTAAATTTGCTGCAGCACTAAACATGTTCTGTCGACAATTCACACCCACTATGCCGGAGATAAAGACATTGTTGACTCTGAGAATGGGTCCGACACACGTCAGCCATTTCGCCGAAATACTGGGAGGTCAACAGCACGTGGTTGCCCCACTCTGGGATGATGACTTGAACAATACCTACCGCACTGCTTTGGCTAGACTAGAGGCCGCAATAACTACAAAGTTCCCCGCCAAAGTCGACATGTCAAGAATCTGGGCATGTAAGCAGACCCCGGAGGAAACAGTAAATTACTATTTCCACCGCTTAGAAAAAGTGTTCACGGAGAACAGCGGCATTATCAAACAAGAGGCTGGGGCACAAGGAGTAGCCGAAATAGGAGTCTGGGAAACACACCTCACAAATGCTTTCCTCAACGGCCTATCTCCAGCCATTTCGGCATCGGTGCGAAACTCCTGCATTGGCGTAATGGAAGGTGCCCGGCTGGAAGAAATTCGCCGACATGCCGTGCATGCCGAAAAACGCCTCCTTAGAAGAAAAAGCCAGCGAGGAAAATAAACGCCGCGACCGCAAAGAAAAGTGCCAGCTGACCTTGGTCCAAGCTGTTACAACCGGCTGGACCCAAAGTGATGGCCAAGGCAGAGGAAACAGAGGAGGAGAAGGAGGACGAGGAGTTTTCCGAGGTCGGGGAGGAAAATGAAAAGACAGAGGACGAGGAGAAGGTCAACAAACAAACCGAAACGGCAAGGATTACTGTTTCAACTGCGGGGAGACGACTCATTGGAGGACTGATTGCCCATACGAGAAGAAGAAAAATAACTTTCGATCGGATAAATCGGACCGTAAGAAAGACAATTCTTCAACTTGACGGGGGTCAAAGGAGGGAGTGGGGGAGGAAGAAATTCGGTTGAGAGAGACGGACTCACTGCCAGCATCATCTACCCAGGGAAGTAATGCACACAAACACATTCAGCAGGCTATTGAGAAATTGGAAGATTTAGATAAAATGTCTGTAATTGAAGAGGGTACATATTTGAAATATGACAGGGAAAAAGCATTTGAGAAATTTCCCACACTGATTTTAAGTATAATGGGTGTTAATGTTACATTTCTGGTTGATTCGGGGGCTACACACTCTGTGCTAAAAAGGGCAGATCTGCCAGATTGCAAATTGAGTGGAAGATACATTCACTCAATGGGGGCAGCTGGGGTAACTGTGAAGGAGAGGTTTTCCATCCCAATTCAGTGTAAAGATAACGGGGATAATATGCATCCATTTCCCACATCAGTCAAACATAGTTTCCTATTATCATCTGTCTGCCCAATAAATTTACTGGGCAGAGATCTGATCCTTAGGTTCGGCTTAGACCTTATTTCTACAAATGAGGGACTCAAAGTCCGACGACCAACTCCATTGATGGTTCAAAACCCCACATTTGAGGATAAAGAATTGCTGAATGTGTGCCAATGGCTGTTGGCATATTCTGATTCTCAGGAATTATTACGTTTGACACATCAACGTGTTTTTCCACCTGCTGTGTTCATGGAAACTTCTCATTTGCATTGTACTGCTAATATTGTTGATGATACATGTCAATACTATGATGAGAGTTTTGTGCTGGAAGATTTGAATGATGAGATCAGGCTTAAAACTATGTATTGGAATTCGCTGCGCGCTGCTATCTCTGTTAGACTCGGAGCCGCACAAACCAAGCTGTATCAAATCCCAGGGGCGGTCCCACACATTTCACTAGCCAGGGGGCCCACTGATAAATGGAGAGATTTGGGTCCAATCGTTAAAGAATGGGAATCTGGTACTGATTGGACTTGCACAGACGACCCGTGGATTGAGTATTCCCCAAAACACGACGTGTTTAAGTACAGTATTGACTGGTCGGTTCATGTACTGCGTTCTCTGACACTCACAGGCAATGAGGACTATGTTAACCCTGTTACTGGCCCAGAGTTCTCATTTTTCAGTCATATTTCTGAGCTCCCCGACGCGCTAAAAACAGTACCGCAAATACTGTGGGCAGCTCACAAATATGACGTAGGGTTAATCCGCTCTGCGGAGCCGGTGGTTATCACTCCTAAGTCCACGTTCCGTCCAAATCAACCCCAGTACTGTTGGAGTTTTGAGGTTTTTACAACCCCACTCGGCTCCGCGTGTCGTTTTGACGAGTCCTGCTTAAAATCATAACAGGAAGGAAATCAGACAGAGAACACCCAGATACCAGTTTAAACAATCTGTTTTAATTATCAAAGGTAATAATGCAATGCACTATAATACATTACAACACCATATAATACAATATACTAAAATCATATTGTAATGTTTTAAGAAGTAGCCGGCCCACTTCTGCCCTGTTCACTTGCTGCGGAGATCCTTCCGTCTTGACAGCCAGAGAAAAGAGGCCGAACTCAGGAATCGACAGAACATATACCAGAAGACAGAAGGAAGGGGTGAGGTCAGCTGGTCATCTTTTCAGGTCCCCTCATTGGCAGACGCAAAATATGCTTTGTCACAGTGACCCAGCGCTGGCCAGCAGAAAACCAAACGGGCCCATTTTACAACAAAACACATCTTATCACCCAAGTCATGTGTTTCTTTATGAAAGCCATACTTGTTGGGAATATAACAGTCATTATCCCATGACATCCTCAGAACTAGCTCACCAACAACGCCTAACTGTCTTCATACCCCCCCTCAATCATCTCTGAACTTTTATTCACCCGAAGTAAGCTCACCCTTAGTCTAAAAGGACCATTGTCTCTCTTAACTGTGTGACTAAATTCTCAAGGCCTGCAGGATGCGCATAATTAACTTAGAACGAATTTAGCCACTATATCTAATGGTTATCCAAGAAAAACACTCAAAAGGGTAATCTTTTCACTCAAAACAGAACTCACAAGTAATTCTGCATTTTACCCCTCAAAAATAGCCTAAACCACCCTTTTGATGAAAAGGGAAAAGTGAAAGAAAAAGACTATTGCGCTAATCTACTTTAAAGAAAAAGGGAACATTGTTTCAGGAATCTATAAAAAACCTCTCTATATTTAAGAGGAAAAATGTATTTTGTTCCTTCAACTATTAATACACAGGAATGTATATACCCACACATATATTTAGGGATAACATGATGCAATACACCTCTTATATATTGGTGAGATTAAAATGAATATACCAAAAATATGCTGCATCACATCTTCCGCATAATACTCTTCATAAACTTCCGCAATTCCCCCTTTTGCACTCTTTTAAAAGAGTGCAATTTACACAAGGCACTTGAAACATATACCCACTGTCATTCTTTTCTACTGTGTCCGTCCCCCAAACATTGTATAAATCCATCCGAAGCTGGTATTTAGAGTACTTGAAACCTTCATGGAGACAGAACACCACTTTCCATGGCAGTGAAGGAACCATGAGGGGGCAGCTGGGTGCTAGTGCAGTCTCCTTGTGTGGTGAATCATCAGCCCCCCCCCTCAGAGGAATACGCCAACAAGGGGCAGCTGATAGGGAGGGGGAGATGCGGCTAGCCCTTCACGGTTGGAACTGATCAGAGAAGTAGACTCCTCTGCTGCCTCGACAAGTCCCCTGTGCCGTCCTGGCTTGCCGTGTCTTTGTCCCCCCGATCCGCTGACAGCAGCTTCTGGGCTGCCTGCTAGAGAGATGTCTTCCTCCTCCTCCTCCTCCGGCCCGCTGATGGCGGCTTCCGGGTCGACTGCCTTGACGAGGGCCAGGTCTGTCCTGATGTCGTCTAGGGCCCTCGCAGGTGTTTCCCCGCCGCACACTGGCTCCCGTGGTACGAGCTGTCCCCCTTTTCTCCCAGGCAGACGGCATAAGAGGTCCGCTGGGTCACTCGGTCGGGGCCGGAGAGCCTGGGGTTGAGCCACTTTGTCCTGATGACTTTCAGCCAGACGAACACCGCTGTGTCGGCCTCGTGCTTCTCGGGTCCCCCTTTTGGCGCCAGTGACCTGTGTGGAGAAATCTGATACAACTCCCTCAAGCCTACGCTCAGCTGTTTTGACCCACTTGGAGCCTGTTGGTGGGGTGTCTTGAAACAACAGCCGTCTGTGAACAGGTTTTCTAAATTAATTGTAGACCTCCTATCTGCCAGTACAGCTTCAGAATCTTAGTACTTGGATTGTGCCAACTAAATAAGAACCCCAACATCTTTAGGTAAACTAAATAACATATTTCAATAGCTCTGAATTTCTGACAAGCATCTGTGTTTATTTTTAAATGAAATCCTTGAGATCCTATTTAAAATCTAAATATAATATGAACTGCTAATGTTTCTGGTAAAGAAACACACTAATGTTATGGATTCAAAAACAACCAAAATCATGATACTGACAAAGTGAATGATTTCCTGGTGATACTGCTTCCACCTGTCAGTGCTTAGATATTATCACGCTGAAAAAATGAATACAGAATTCCAACAAACTGTCATCAAATGTCTTTCTATTATAAATTTAGATGAAATGTATATCCTCATAATGACCTAAACAATAAAGTCTATGGCTTTTACTTATTTACCAGGCTAGTTACATGATGTTGTCTAAATTAAATTCTGTCTCATTACATTACTATGTTTTAGCTTAACTGTAATATGTTCTTTCTACATTTCAAACCTCAGTTACTTTTATACCTGTTGAAACATTACTCACAGGTCAACTTCTTCAGTATTCCATTCTGGAATCACATCTCTCACAGTAGCCCCTTGGCCACTGATTCTGCATCTGTTTTACTATAACTCAATCAATATTAGAGACATGTCAACATTCATCAAACAGTATCTTATCCCCAGATATGGAGCAGGTCAATTCTAAAACCGTCAATCAATGGTCAGATTGAACAATCGAGTTGGCGCAGCCGTACACTCCCCCTTTTTACACATGACTAATGTGTAACCAAAATCCTGTATGGGAAGAAAACCTTCAGGTAATAATGGATTCTAAGAAAATATCAAACATTTTTTCCCAAATGTACATCCATCATTTCCACAGTAAACACTCCAGTGAAATGAAGTGTTTCTCTCCATCTTTCAGTCCTAAAAGAAACAGAATCTTCATGTTTTAGTTTGAGTTCCTCATTCTGCAAACTGCCACCTCCTGTGGGAGTGCACAAGTGCGGTTTTCCAATTCTGTGGAATGTTATTGAGGCCCAGAAAAATGTGTTAGTCCAAAAACATGCTTGATTAGTCATTGTTTTAAATCATGCAGTTGCACTGATCACATGCAGACATACACTCACATTCACACTCACACTGTCAGGTTGTAAAGTCAAGTTTGGTCAGGTCCACCCCAGAGTCAGTCATTCACAGTGCCTTGTCAAGTTACACTGTCGGTCAGGGTCAAAGGTCAGTTGGTCTCAGTCTTTTTTGGCCATGTGTCGTGCTATGCAGAGACTTTGACATTTCAGCATAGGCCAGTATCCTTTGTCTACACAAATATGTATATATGGAGCGCCATCATTTATTAATTCACAATTACAACTATAATGTTCAAGATATCTCTAACTTTTCATTGAGACAGCTGCTTCCCACATTCCC